GACGTAAGTATGATCTCTACCATGTTTCCGAGAAATTTATTTTCAATAAAGATGTAAAAGAAATATAAGTTTGGCTTTCTTTTTTTATCCAGAACAACAAACGTCGACTCCTGCCTCTCCATCACAACCTGCACCGGCTCAAAGTTCATTGCCTCCAAATCCAGTAAATTCAAACACACCAGTTTCAAATTCAACGGCTTCAAACTCAACAGCTTCAAACTCAACGACACCATCTTCAAATGCCACTTCAACATCTTCCCCATCCTCTGCATTCTCAAGCCTTCCACCTCCCGGTGCAGAACCAGTTTATATCACGATTACAGCTCCTAAACCACAAGATACACTTAAAGCCATCGGACGTGCAATTACTTTCTCATGGTCTTATTCAAGCAACTTTGCAGTTGCACCCAAATACTTGAATATTTGTGCTGTGCCTCAAACTTGGTTGAATAATCCAAATTATCAAAATTATTCTATAGTCGATCTTTTGGATCCATCTACTACTACTTATACATGGAATACGAGTAAAATTACCAATCCTGAGTTAATAGAGTCGAAATATATCCTTTTTATTTACGACGAAAGGGGTTGGCAACCGCAAAATACCGGTGGTGCTGGAAGGCTACAGGCTTCATCAACATTTTCCTTTAGCTTGTATAAACCAGGATCCTATGTTCCTTTATCAGGTAAAAACAAAATAATTTGTTAATTCTTCAATTTTTATTTTTATTTTTATTTTTTACTTTACTTTTTGGTTTGGGTGAAATTAACGGTTATTTTATTATATTGTAGACTATCACTGCGCGGAATGTTCTGCTGCCTCAACATCATTACCACCGCTCATCTTAATGACAGCAACACCCATTATCATTTTTATAGTATCACACTTTTATTTTTCGATAGACTAACAGTAAACTTATAAAACAATTTATATATATTTATTTAAAGAACAACAAAAAAAAAAACTTTTTTTTTTTTTAATTGGGTACATTTTTCGATAAATCTTTAAACGTGACATTGTGACATTAGAATATTTGTTTACAAAGAATAAACTTGCTTCAACTAGTTTTCTTGTCTACGGGTAGATTTTTTTTTTTTTTTTTTTTTGAAGTCATCGGTTGAAATTAGCAATGATAAAAATTTTAATTTTAAAAATTTAGTTTTATGTATAATCTAATCTATAAATAAAATAGGATAATCCCCACCTAAACTATGGTATTGATTTTTCATCCTTATTTTTAAAGAATCCCACGACCAAAGGTTTAAAAAGATAAATAGTGGCTATGACTGCAAGTATAAGTGCAGCCCAATGAATTACTGGATCTTCTTGTCCGTACCAGATACCATATAATGTCCAAGCCATAACCTAAAATGAAATCATTAATTATCACATAACTAATTTGTGAATTTATTAAATATACTCACCGCTGCACCCGCCCAATCCTCTCTTTTCTCAATATAAGCAACAGCTGTCGTTTCAAGAAAGATTAATCCCAGAATAACGACAAGTTGTACAACTATGGTTGGACTATCGGCAACTTCAATTGTTGTGTTATTCTCTGTAACGTGATGGTAAGTTTTTTCTGGTGTAATGGTGGCAAAGGTTGTAAGAACTGCCACTATAACAATCCATGCATGATACAACGTGAATGGTAATTGAATAAATAGTTTATCCAAAATTCTTCCTTCAGGCGGCGGATAATGTTCATTGAGCGTTTGATAGATAACAGTTATTTGACATGCTATTATAAGGATTACAATCCATGATAGGAAGAGTAAATTGTCATCCTATAAAAAAAAAAAAAATCTTGTTTATAAATAAATATGACTAAAGTTTATTTTAAATATATATTTAAAAAATTTATTTTTACCCATAAAGAAAGCCATAGAGTGTTCAGCAGGACAACACCAACAAAATGCCAATGAATTCCATCACTTTCAACGACAGCTTTGTCGTCATCCATACAGAACTGGTAAATGACTGAAGTAAAGTATAAATAAGAATTTCGTGCTTGAAAATCATATAATTTATAATTATAACTTACCAAAACCTGTTAGCAAAAGATGAATAAGGAACCAGACATAAAATGTAAAATAAGCTGGGGAAATATATGTAATGTGGTCTTTAATGTAACGAGATTGCTAAAAAAATCAGAATAAATGTTAGTATAAATAAATATGTTTCTCTTTAAGAATTTAGAATTTCTTGACCACAGATTAGACATTAGCATTAACAATTAGACTAACATTATCTGGTCCAAGGCCCGCATAGATATTAACTCCCATGAGAAAGAAGAACG